ACTTAACAGCTAATAAGATGCTGTTATATTTTGAAAAAATGCAGATTCATAAAGAGGAGCCACTCGAGTTCATTCAAGTGTCAGTGGCAATCTATTCTGATTATCTTTATATAAATCTTGTCTGTTTCTGAAATGTGCAGTTAGATCACACCACAAAACCTAGCACACATTTATGCCTGAAAAGGTATTAGTAGGTCTTTTCCATTTCAATAATTTTAAAGCTGCTAAACAAGAGAAGGATGATTACTAATTTCTTCCATTCTTAACGTTTTTACCTCAGCATTAATTGTTTTTCCCTGAACTGTGTGAAATACGAGCATACAGAAAATCAACACTGAAAGAAAAAAGTGCTGTTAACTTTGTCAGAAACTTGAGTTTAGGAGAGAAATAATACCTTGGTAATTACAAAGATTACCTTTACATTTTCTGCATTTCCCCTGCAACAGTAAAGGTTTCTTGCATTTATTTGCACAGAAACATCAAAGATAGTCTCAGGGGATCTGCAGAATTTCAGTGGTCTTTCTTTATCAAAACAAGCTGCTTTAATTAGCCTAATATGTGATATGAAATCAATCAGTAATTAGTATCTTTGATCAAAATCTGCACTAAAGCTCATTTCTTCAGAATGTTTGATTTGCAAACAGCAAATGAAACAGAACATGTTTGAACAGAGCTAATTAGGTGTATATCTAGCAGTATTTTTGAGGGGGTGTATATATTAATAACCATCACCTTTATATAAAATGCCCAGTGGGCATTTTCTGATGGGCATAATTTACAAGATAAATTGGTTTTGAAAAAAGTGAAAGAGGTTTGCCCCTTCTGAAAGCTGGCTCACACGTGTACCTGCTTCAAAAAATCCTCTATTCTGAAACAGATGTAAAGTCCAATGTTAAGAAAATAATCAGAGATGATATGAAAATCCTACCTCACACAATGTCAGTGCAGGACAGGAATGCTTGCACTGTAAGTGAAGTCTATCAACTGAAAACAAAGAGAAAATTATTGCTTTGTTTCTCCAACTTCAGCTATATTGTCTTTTCGACACTTCATTTGTAATCTAACTCTTGTTGACAGAGGTTGGGAAGCAAGCATATTAAGGGATGCTAAACTTAGCATCCCTTGAGAAGCCTGAATAAATAGCTTTGCCTTTTCTGTCTGTGTGCAGAGCTCCATGCCTGTACCTTCCTCATGTTTTCAAATTTGGCTCTGTTGGAAGCTTTGCCTCCATCTCTCTGAATAAGTCAAGGACCAGGCTGAGCACTAGGTTTATATCTGAGTATATCCTGGACATGTCAGTGAGAAAACTAAATGTTTTAGCATGAAGAATACATGAGGAAGACTCAGCAGCGGATGACTTCAGGTGTCAGACCTGCTGCACACAGCTGCTTCCATCCTAATTACCAAGGCTTTTGCTTACTCACCATCCCATGAGGGGTCACTCCTGCTCTAATGACCTCTCCCCATCCTCCCTGTGTCCTTTTTTCTCCTGTACCTCCTCCCATGCCCTTCCTGCCTGCTCTCTGCCACAGCTGTGCTGCTGTTGTTGTAGCTCCCCCAGCCCCAGTGAGGGCTCTTGCAGGCAAACATTCAAACCCTGGCAGCTATAATGCTGCCCTTGAACCTCCCCATGGCTCTTGTAGGCACCACAGCTTCAGTTTGCTCCTTTTCAGCCTTGCAAACAGCACGGCTGGGTGAGGCTGGCACTGGAGGGACGTGTGAGTGGAAGCTGTGAGCCATTGCTCGGTTTATGCATTGGCTTAGCTAAAACTGCACGCATGGTGTCACATCGACGCTGCACATTTAGGGAGTGATTCATTTCTGGCTGCAAGCTTGTGCCACCTCCACATATTTTCTGAGAGAAACTTCTTACAGCGCTCCCTCAGCACTACTCACTGCTCTCAGCTCAGCTCAGCTGCCAGGAGCCCCCTGCACACCCAGCCTTCCCCACTCCTGTATGTAATTTCAGCATCTCACTTCCTAACTGGAAGTACTTTGTACTGTAATGTAAGGAGATGACAACCAAGCAAACAAGCAAGAACACTTTATGTCTTACAATGAAATTCTTTTGATTTGAGCAGTATCATGTTTTTCACCCACCCAGCTGGACTAAGTGTGCCTTTGGAATGAAACAACATCCAGCTATACACTACCTTTCAATCCATAACCTGCCCTGCAGAGTGCAAGAGAGACAAAAAGGGACAGCGACACATTATGCTTGAAATGCCTTCTGTTTGCCAGTTAGAAACATCCCAAATCAGTGCAAATCTTTAGTCAAAGGGAAATTTTGTTCTGCTGGTGCCAAGCTTTGCATAACAGAGCCAAGCACAAATGCTAAGAGCTGAAGTGAAATCATGCTAGTCAATGAGGCAGAGCCTGCTTCTTCAAGCAGCAGTTCCTTTGAATTAAAGCTTATACCTTGGTCAGCACATTGAACTCCCACTGTGGGCTCTGGGATGCCAAGAAGGAGGTCAAAGAAGTGCAACATTATTAATGTCATGTTCTAAGAACAAACCATTGTCCACTCTGCCTAACTGTGCTTTTGTTCTTTCTCAAACTCCGCGTTCATCAGTTACTGAGTGGTGGGGTTTTGCTGCACTGGTTCTGCTAATCATTATATATTTTATGTTGCATTTAGCATTTCATCAACCATGAAAGAATCTGGACTTAAAATGGATGGGTCACAGTGAAATAGAGCTTCAAGACAACAACAGAAATGGTCAATTTGAAATAGATTTTTTTCCCTAGTGCAATTGACTTTGAGTTCATTTTCAATTTAAATAACAAATAAAAAATGAGGTATTGAGTCATTACAGTGGCCAGATAACTGTCAGAGCTACACTGGGTTAAACTCAAATTATACTGCAGAAACTGCTCAGAGGTAGTCTAGTTAAAATAGAATTAATTGAGTAAGCAATTTCTTTTCCTTTCTACTCCCTTTTTTCCTGCTGCAATGCATGTAGTTTTTAGGTACAGGAATATAACATTTATTCTACATTTCTGTGCTTACTTACAATCTTTACAATCTTACTGATAGTTGTAAATTTATTAAAGCTGGCCTAAACCCTTCCAATCAAATATACTCAGTTATGTCCCAGGGAATAACTACTGCCTTCCACTGTAAACCCTTTCCATCTCATTTCTACAACTTTTAAAACCATCAGCTCAGCCTCAGCAAAGACAGTGTTAAAAGACCCACTGTGGATGGTTCTCAAGGCAAGATGCATAATTAAACTTTCTAGTTATTCTCTTAGTCTGTTCTCCAGAAACCCAATCTTCCAACAGCCAAATCATCTGTAAATGCTATAAGCAGAAAGCAGTTTTCCTTGTTCCATGCTGGGAAATGTAAGCAGGCACTAATCCCAAGCATACTGGACACTTCTGTCTCCTCAGTCCTTGTGTAAATGACACAGCATGTCAAGGAATACTTTCTTTAACTGCTGCTCACCCACCTTATGGCTTTTCAGACATTTTACTTTTGCTAAGGACAGAGGTATAGAAAACCACGAGGCAGATTAGAAGAAAAGTGAAAAATCAAACAACCCTAAAATGTTATGCCTGTTATTAAGGTAGTATGAATGCTATGAGAGATAAAGCTATTTTCATCTGCCCAGCATTGAGTCTGCAACTTGGAACCTGCTGTTCATCCTAGTCTCTGACGCAGAAACCAGGAGCAATAGTTCTTAATTAACCTGTTTTGTTAGTAGCAAAATCAGTGATGCCTGAGCTACTGCAGATTTTTGTGTCACAGGTCATGTCCCATTTGGATTCTCCACTTTTAAATAGTGGTGAGCTGACATTGCAGCCTTTACCACTGTGGGGGAGCTAAGTCGTAATTCTCTCCTCTACCCACCTGTGAATTTTCATGAAACTTGATGGAATTTCACACCTTTGAAGTCTCTACCTCCCTCCTGAATTTGCCTGAAATTGGTCAACATATTCAAAAAAGGGAATAGGGAACAGAAAAAGACAGAGACAAATATAACAGCTTTATAAATCTTATTTCTTTGTGAAACCCAGCTAGAAACAGAAGTTAAAAGCAAGGGAATTCTTGCAAATACACTACTGACATTTACAGGTAATGCAAAAAAAGAGTGATATTATGAAGGAGTGATATTATGACTATTTGTAAGTAAAGTAGTTACTTATTAGCAAAATGCAAGCTAAATCCATCAGTTCCTCCTCTGAGCTTAACACCACTCTTGATTTATACCAGAGAAAGCTCTGCATTATGAAACTAATCATATTTCATTATGCTTGGCTATAATCAGTCTACTGTGAGGTGCCCATTGGACCATGCTGTTATTCAACCAAGATTGTTACTTTTTGCAAAGAGAGGAAGGAAATGGTGAAGAACTTCTACAAATTCCTTCCTCCTTCTTACACCTTCCTTTACCCAGATGCCCCAAAGACTTTCTATTACTTCCTTATATGAATAAAATCAAAGTATTTGGGAAGCCAAGCTAAATCTACGTACAAATCACACAGTATCTCAGATCCTGTCTGACATAGCCAGGCAATCTTAACAGCAAGAGCTCTGGGTTTTTTTCTCCTATTTAAGAAATATCATTTCAGGAAAGTGTTCCTGACAAACTTCTTGCACAGGATGAGATTATCTGCTAGGGCGGAGCCGATCATGTAGCTTGTTGCTGCTCAAACTTCTATTTTGCTCTCTTCCCATCCTTTTCCCAGTTACATGGTCCTGGCCAAGCTCTGGCATTTAAGTGATTCTGTCCTTGGTCAGTTCAACTCACTAAACCAGCAGGAAAGTAAATTCAGTAAAACAAAGTAAGCTGCTTTTGTTTTGCCTTGTACAAAGGAACTTACTGGCCATTCATGCTTCTCTAAAGCTTCTCAGAAGTGGTGAAACAAATTACTAACATTTTGAGGCAGATGAAGCAGTTTTAAGTCAACTGGAAATCTCTGCTTTTCATATTTAATACAGTCTGATACAAAAAAAAATTAAAATGTAATCAAACATTAAAATTAATGTTACTTACTATTTGTCTTCTGTTTTCTACCAGGTAGATGCCAACAATCCCTAGGAAAGATCCAAAGCCAAGCTAAGGCAAAGAACAAAACCAACAGAAATGCATGAGGTCAGCTTATCTGGACAACATACCAACACACACAGCGATATCTGAGCTAATGCACCACACAGGTGGGCTAAATGGGGTGGGTCAAGGGAAAAGGTGGAAGTTACTGTTGGACATAAATCATATAATGTAATGGGAAATGGACAGGACTGCAGCTCTTTCATAGCTCAGTGCAAAATTTGTCACGCAGTAAACAGAAGTCTGTATAGACATGCATCTATAACCTAACTACTGTTACCATTGTCATGTACAGTTTTACACACTGTAAAGCAAAAAACTAAGTAGGAGACAAAAACACTTATATTTAGTCCACACATCATAATTTTTGAAAATTGCAAAGCTTTAGGCAATTGCAGACAGTTTTTCTCAAAAAATTTATGTGTTCCCCAAAGTTCAAATCCTTAGAGTTTTACCTGTTTGATTTTAATGATTAGACACTATCACACATGCCAGAGAAAATCCTTGCTAAAATGCTAAAAGGACCAGTACAGTCAGCTGCATCACCAGCAGCCACAGGAAAGAGAGGAGAGGGAGGGACACTGAAGTAAGCTGGCCTTAATGTTCCAGTGTTGTTTCAACATGGGGATGGTAGGAAAAGCCTCCTCCTTATGATGGGCCCATGAAGGTTTGGAGCAGTAGAAACTCCTTGGATTCACAGTTCCAGCCCCTCTCTGTAATGATTCCTCTGAACTGAGCTCAGAGCCTCTCCTCCAAGCACAAATTAAGTTTTTAAGGACTACATGTCCCAGCCAAGGGCTTAAGCAATGCCCGTAAATTCCTTGCTGTTACGCACAGCTGCTCACAGCAGAAAGCAAATCCTCTGCAAGCACTTTAGCCACTCAGTATCACAAGAGGAATCCGTCACTCGCTTTCAAGAAAGTGACTGCAGGGAAAGGAGATTTGTTCTTGAGTGCTTTGGGAAATTTATGTGAAAGGGAGATGCAAGGACTAAAAGCAGAGACTTTGAAAGAGTGGGCAAGTGCACCCATGCTGACAGCTAAATAGTAGAGATACTTGGAACGGTGAGCAAGGACACTCTGTTCAGGGGACAGCAACTTTGCAAATTAAGATAACTACATCAAAATGACATCTGGTTCCAAGCCCCATTTTTCATTCCAACAGGAACAATCCATAAAGCCTCATTTATGGCTGATGCAGGGAACACAAAATGAGTAATATCCATGCAAACAAAAAGAATGACCAAACACAGAACAATAACAATTAAATCAGAAGGAGCAGAATCATAGAGATCATAATGAAAGCCACAGCATTACTGAGATTATTTTAGGGTCATGTGAGCTAGTTTTTTGTCTTTTTAGACAACAGGTTATTTGGGAGCTCTGGGAGTCCAGGCCAGTATGGTGCTGGGGACCCTGTTGAAAGAGTATATAAATAGCAAACAAAAATAATACAGTAAGTAGTCACAGAGAAGTGACATTAAATATTTAAGTATAAACAATATTTATAAAGAAATAAGGCTGAAGCAGTTCCGACTCTGTCTTTGCAGATCATTCCAAAAATGCAAATTCCAAACAGATGCTCAAGCAGTAATCTACTAAATGCAGACAACTTCCAAAGAGTAGCTGTATTAACTCATCTACACACAGAAATATTTTATGTTCAATTACTTTGGATGCATAAGTTCAGGTAATACCTGGCACTATAAAGATGTATTTAGAAAAAAGATTTTTTTTCAAAACAAATTACATATGCAGGGAAATTAAGGCACTTAGCTCTTCTTGAAGCCAGTGGGAACTTGGCAGAAGCCAAAGCATATTATGGATCTAACCCTAAAGACCCGTTCTGTAAATACTTCCAGAAACAAGTAAATCTCTGCCAGTGGATAGTGTTACTCATCTTCATAGGTGTCTTCAAGGCAGGATTAATTCTGCATGGTTTTTAAGACCAAAATTGCTTACCTTAGGTCAGTGGAGGTTTCATCTCATCTACCAGCTGTGAAATTAATATTTTACTACTGAATTTTATGAGAACTAGACCTTATTTTAAATTTAAATTAACACTGTCTGTCCTCATGTTCTTGCTTTTCTCTGAGCCCAGCAGTTAAATATGTAGTGACAAATTCACTCCCCCGGTTTAGGTATCTGAGTCTGGGATCAGGGCTATGCTGGTTTTCTAAGCTCCCTCTGCTGTCAGCAGAGAAGAGAAGCACCTTTTGAGGGCTGTTCAGGTCATTCTGAAGGAGGTGATGGTGAGAGGGGATTCTGCCCCTCTGCTCTGCTGGGATCCCACCTGGAGTGCTGCCTTCAGTGGGGCTCCCAGCATAGCAAGGACATGGACATGTAGGAGTGAGGATAGATAGAGCAGGGCCACAAAGACAATCAGAGGCTGGAGCACCTCTCTTATGAGGGCAGGATGAGAGAGTTTGGGTTGTTCAGCCTGGAGAAGACTCTGAGGAGACCCAATTACTGCCTTCCAATTCCTAGAGGTGCCTTACAAGAAAACATAAAGACATAAGACAAGAGGTAATGCCTTCAAACTGAAAGAAGGTGGGTTTAGATTAGATAGTAGGAAGAAATTCCTTACTGTGAAGAAGGTGGGACTGGAATAGGATGCCCACAGAAGCTGTGAGTGTCCCATCCCTGGAAGTGTACAAGGCCAGGTTGGATGGGACTTTGAGAACCTGGTCTAGTGGAAGATGTCCCTGTCCCTGGCAGAGGAGTTGAGACAACCTTTAAAGTCCCTGCCTTCCCAAAACATTCTATGATTCTGTGACAGTCAGTCTGCCAATGCTGCACTGGAGTCAGTCACTTCTGGCAGTGAGGCAGAAACATAACAGTGCTGTCACACACCTCTGACCAGGCTTTTGGCAAGATACCATGTAAGATTTGCATAGCACTTTTAATTCTTCCTAAATGTTTGTGATATTTAATATCTTGAAGACATTTACATTGGCAGTTACAAAGGAAAATTATTAATAAAAGATTTCATTTTCAAAGTATTCTAATAAATTCTTGCTTTTCTATCTGTTTATTAAGGAAAACAAGATTTTCAAAAAATATTTTAGCAGGTGATGTTTTTCAGATGAATGGGTAGACATTCCATTATTCTTACAAGAAATTACATGCTTAAATAACCTGTTTTGTACCCATGGGTTTATTACTTATTATACTTATTAAAAACAGCAGTTTAAAAATGAAACTTTTGTCTAGGGATGAATGCAGATAATGTGGTCTTAGAAAAGATTTTATGTCAAATTTTGGAAGAAGAGACCTTTATCAGTATTAATCCATCTATTTGAGGTTAACGAAAGAGAAAATCATTCTGTTAAAGTCTTATTCCTGGAACTGCTTTTTGCTCTATTTTTAAAGCACCACTCCTTATAGATCATAATCCTAAAATTATCTTTCTGAAAGTCCTGCTCTCAACATAACACTAAGATGTAAGAGGAATTGTTTAGGAGGAACAGTTCTAACTCACAAATTATTAATGGTATATGCACAGAATTAGAAGATCCATATCCCTCTTCCCTGGGCATTTCATTCCATAGAGAGCAAGAAATTATAGTATCTTATTTTGGCAGTAGTGGAGTGACACACCTGAGTAGTGTCTAACTCTAAATATGTGAATTTCTTTCTTCACCTTGCAGCCTCTACCTCCCCTTGGTTGACTCAGCCCTTCTCTGTTTGCTACCCATATTCCTTGTATTTGAGATTTTTTTTTTTTTTCCCCCCTACTCCACGCATTTACACACTTTGGGATATAACTGATCCCTTCTCCTGAGGTCAGAAAGGGCCTGGGGGTTGAACCAGGAAGGGGCTGGCAGGGTTACTCCTCCCCAGAAGCCACAGAGGCACCACAGGGCAAAGCAGGCAGAACTTGAACCTTGTGCCCACTGCAGAAAGGCTTTTAAGCTGCCTGTTCCCAAGGCAAAATCAACACTAAGGATTTTGTAAACAGGATCTTGTACAAGAGAACTGGCAGCAAGCCTGCAAGAAAGGATGTTAGGAAGAAGTCTCCACATGTCCTTTTGCAGGGCTTTCCCTGCCATGGACACAGCAGAATTCCTGGCACACGGACACAAGAGCGGAGTGGCTTTTCCTCCCATCAAAGCAGTAAACTTCTAAAAGGTTGTTCAAATCCATCCCATGCTACTGTCCAGTCACACAGACACCCACCTCTAATGGAAACCTGTGGGGGTCTAGCACAGGTTTTCACACAGTTCCCTGAGCCCAGCACAGTGCAGTGCAGACTTGAACTCCTTCCATTCCCTAACAGCCTCCCTTTGGGGCACTTCAGAAAAATAATTTACCCCCCTGCCTTACAACACACGGGAACTAGATCAAAACAAAGCAGCATCTCTCTCCCATGAAATGACATGGTACTAATGTTTTATTCTTTATTCTATCAGAGCTTCCCATTTACCGCTGATAATAATTTATTTGGATGTACCTAATATTCTAAAATGGGTATGGGTTTGTTTTACTTACAACAATGCCTGGGTAGTAGCCTCCCACAGTAACATTTTCTGTTCGCGTGGTAGCAGCCAGACCTATGGTGAGTATGAAAACAGACACCACCAGCAGTGCGACTGTGAACCAAAGGGAAGTCTTCTTCCTTTTTGCAAACTGTCCTGTAGGGAGTGAGGTAGGGAGAGAGGAAAAAAAAAGAGCTTTTCATTGCAATCATGGCAGAACAAATACAAAATGATGAAACACCTAATATTCTAAAATGGGGTTTTTTTACTTACAACAATGCCTGGGTAGTAGCCTCCCACAGTAACATTTTCTGTTCGCGTGGTAGCAGCCAGACCTATGGTGAGTATGAAAACAGACACCACCAGCAGTGCGACTGTGAACCAAAGGGAAGTCTTCTTCCTTTTTGCAAACTGTCCTGTAGGGAGTGAGGATGATGAAAGATTTTCTTTTGTTAATCTTCTCTGTAGATAACCCTCTGTTGTTCTCTCACTAAGGAAAATTGCTGCCAGACAACAGAAGGAATTAAAACCCGCAGAGTTAGCTGGAGTATCACTTAATGCACATGCATTGGGTACAGGCATGAGATGAGTTTTTATTAAACTGAACTCTAAGTCAGTGACAATGATAATTATGCCTTGTCTTCAGTAACATTTTTAATTGTTGTTCACGTTGGTAAGTGAGATCCTGCAGGCTTTAAATTCTTACCTGTGTGAAGTGCCAATTTGACTTATCTGGCCTGAACATAAAAATGAAAATTTTAAACAAGATTAGCAGGCGGTCTGCATGCTATCATGAAAATGAATGTGCTCTTCATGTTTACTGGGGTAAGAAATCTGCATCCTTGAAGCAAAGCTGTAACAGAGTTTATCAGGTAATGACGCATGAGATTTTTCTAGCAGAGGCTGCTCAGTGGAATCCTTTCAGTCTCACTAGGATTTGGGTCCAGATACCCCAAAGTGAAAACCAGCACACTCATCTCCAGCTTGCAGCCAGCTCCAAGGCACTTAACCTTGTTACCCAGTGGCAGATCTGAGCTGTAGCCAGAGGTTACTCACACCAGGGCCCCAGCCCATAGCACAGACTTATGTAAGACTAAAAAAGCCATTAATACATGACTCTAACTAGCAAAAGACGCCCAAGTGAATCAAACTGTGGTCCCCATTTTTGGTGTTCTCACTTTGGAGTGCGCAGGATCACCCTGTAACAGTGGGCCATGTGATGCCATGGTACCATACACTGCACCTGGGCAGGATGGAGCTCCTGAGAAAGCAAACCTGGCCACAGCAGGGCCAGTCTCTCTCCCTCTGTGGCCTCAGGAAGCTGCCTGACTGCCCAGCCTCGGGAGAAGGCAGAGTGTGTGATGTGGCACTGAAGCCTGGAGGCAGCAGCCCTCAGCAGCACGGAGGAGGTGAGAGGGGAAGGCAGGCTTGCGTGGGTCAGGCTCCGGGGGCACTGCTGGAACCAAAAGCAGGGGAAATGCAGGAAAGACAAAAAGAAAGCAGAAGCCATTTGCAATGAGTCACTTGAGTTTTGTGGCCATTTTAAAGTCACGTAACTCAGTTAAATGTTTATAGTTCAAAATCCAGACTAGATTAGTGATGTTTGCAAGCCAACTCAAATAATTTCAATCACTAAATAAATGAATTTATAATAACAAACTGTGTTTGCTGACATTTCTCCAGTAGAACAACCAGTCAAAATTATTCCAGTCTTTTAGTATGAAATACAAGCAACTTTCCTAAAGGCAAATACCATCTGTTGAGCTTACAAAAGTCTCTTTCACCTGCATGTACAAAGTCTTCCTGCTAAAGATAAAGAAATAACTCCTAAGACTCGCCAAACACCTCTCCTCCAGCCTATGTCTCTGCCATCTTCCTCTGGCAATTCCTTGTTAATCCATGGAGGGTCACTGGGCACATGGAAGCAGAGAGGTTCTTTGTTAGCAACCAGTTTTTCACCAAGTGTGTGGAGTGAAGATGGTTCTTTCAGAGAAGGCAGTTCACAGGGCCAAGAGGGAAAACTAGATTTCAGATGTACAGCTCCCCAAATCAGCTGTCATCCCTACAAATTAAAATGATTCATTCAATATATCTTCCAGATTGTAAATAATATCTGATGCCCTTGCCATACCTTATCACCTTTGAAAAGTCATGGAGATTAAAGAATCCCGAAAACTGAAGAAAGGCAAATGCTGCACCTGCTCTTAAAAAGGCCAAAATGAAGATTCAGGGGATTATAAACCAACCAACCTCACCTTGGCTCCTGGGATGCTGGGACCAAAAAGGTGGAGTAAGTCTTCTTGTAAGACATTTCTGGGCACAGAAGGAAAAGGTGACTGGCAACAGTCAGGGTGGATTTACCAGAGCCAAGTCATGTCTGACCAGCCCAGGTGCCGGGTATGGCAAAAAGACCGGACTTGAGGAGCACTGGATGTCTTTTGCCTTAATTCTAGCAAGGTTTTTAACATAATGCCAAGTTGTGAGCAAAGGAAGGAACAACGCATTGCAATGATGCAGGTAAGGGACTGCCAGGCTGCAAAGCAGCTCTGCTGGAAAGGAAGGACCTGGGGGTATTGGTAGATGATGAGCTGATTGTGAACCAGCAGTGTGCCCTAGCAGCAGAATCCTAGGCTGTACTAACAGGAGCATCACTAGGGGATCAGAGGAGCAACTACACCCATCTATTCAGCACTTTTTAGATGACGCAATATTGCACTCGGTTTTGGGCCCTCAGTATAGGGAAATACATAAATTAACTGCAATGAATTCAAGAGAGGACTGCAAAGAAGGTCAGGGGCTGGTACTGTCTGTATGAGACAGGCTAAGGGAATGGGGCTTGCTCAGCCTGGAGATGAGATGACTTTTGGCAGGGCTAGTTGCAGTCTTCCAATTCCTTTGAGTTGTTGTCAAGAGAACAGACTCAGGCTTTTCATAATCGTGCACAGCAGGAGGCAAAAAGACAGCAGACAAACTGAAATACAAAAGACTGGGTATAAGGAGGAAAAAAAAAATCAACATTAGGACAGTCAAACATTGGAACAGGTTGCCCAAATAACTTGTGCCCACTCCAACTTTGGAGGTTTTCAAGATTCAAGCAGAAAAAGCACTAAGCAACCTGGCCTGACTTCATAGTTAACCCAGCTTTGAGCAGGAGGCTGGAATTGCAACTGAGGTACCTTCCTACCTGAATTCTTCTATGGTTTCATGGTAGTCAAGACAGCTAGACTAAGAGTGGGTTGGGTGTGTGTGCTCATACCCACTGACATGAAGCTGCAGCTGCAATGTAGACATACTCTAAAGGGACACAGGAACACAAACCTTCCCAAAGCCAGTGGGGCATATGCTCCCCAGCCAAGACTTCTTGAAACCACTGAAAAGTGCCTGAGGAGCCAAGCCTCCACAACTTCCCCAGAGTAGCACCTGTACTGGCAAAGGTTGACAAGACTGGATGGAAATAAACTATGGTTCCAACCCTCCCTCCTGAGTTCTGATTATAAATAATGAATGGCATAAATATGATTGCCCTGACCGAGTTGCTGAAAAATGTCTTAGGAAAAGCATGCTCTTATTTGTAATTGGAATAAATCTGATGTGGATTTAGTAAGACAGAATAGCAAAAGATGTCATTATTTGTAGGGACATTTTTTGTTATGAACTACATTTTGACATTGAAATTTACACATGCTAGAATAAATTTATGAATGCAATACTCTTCAACCCTCATATTTATTGATCTTTTACCACCTGCAGCTCAAAATAGAGGGAAATATCCAATTGTACGTCCCCTTTTTCATAGTCTAGGAAACTCTGATAAATAACCATGCTGCCAGCTATGAACTCCACCCTTAGGAGAGATGACTTATGTGCAGGAGCACAGAAAGGCCCTTTCAGGAGAAGAGACTGGCACATGCAAGGACTTATTCTCAAAGACTTCCACATGCTCAGAGAAGATGGATAGAAATCAGCCTAAATTGGTTTTTATCATGGCTGTTTGGTTTTCCTTAGTCACAACAATAAAAATCTTTGCTCTAGCAAAGTATGTATAATTATATGCATATAAGCCACCAGCATACTGGGAGGCCTATAGCAAAGCAGCTTAATATTTTTAGAAGTTACTGCTGCAAAGGGTTCCCACAATTAAAAGGCTTCCTTTTGCAATTTCAGTCATGTTGGGTCCCACCATTTTTCAAGCCTTTGTTTAGTGCTGTTTGTGGCAGTTGCCATGCAGTTTATTTGGGTCTGTTTTTCATGTACCTGCCAGCCAAAACCCCATGCCAGACTCAGAAGCCCTGTCTCCAGCTCAGCCTGTGTGCCTGGCCCAGCCTTCTTCCCTGACACTCTGTGGCAAGGCTTGGACTGAAGGTTGGCCTTACACAAGAACAGCAGTTAAATTAAGAGCAGAGGAAACATTGCAGTCAATTATTTGTAGCCTGAATTTTCTTCCAACACCAATGTTCCTGGAGTGCAGGAAATGCTTAATGGAGGCTATTCGCTTTCCAATTTTTTTAGTACTGAAGTAACTCTCAGAATAATTTTGACATTTATTACCTTCAACTTCTTCAGCAACGATTTGGTATGAATATTATTAAGCTCCTAGTCAGGACCTTAATGCAATTTAATTATAATTTTAAATTCTTATATTTCATACCAAAAACCAAGCTTGTAGGAAGAAACCTTCTCCTATCCTTATTAGCATTAGCATGGGGTCAGTAGAGGGTGTGAATATGTTATTAACATCTATTGGGAATATTCTTCAGCAGTTTTGGCCAGTGAAGTATTGACTGAGCCTTGGGCACTGAGTTTTTTGCAGTACTAACCGCAGCAATAGGCACTACAGATAAATTAGAGAGGTAACAGAACTTCCACATGACAGGCTTGTGCTTTGCCTGGCGCAGACCTAAACTGCGAACAAAAAGGAACAGCCACAGAAACACTCTCTGCTTTGCTCACTAAACATCTGTCAGGAAAAGTATCTGCTCGATATTTTGGAGAAAATGCCACCAGGAAGGAAGGGAGACACCAGACTGCTGCCTCCTTGGGACTGAGAAAGGCTCGTGAGGAGGGAAACTGAGATCACACTCCAGAGAGCAGAAAGAAAAAGTGCCTGCTGAAAACCACACTCTGCTGCACTCAAAAGAAAAAAACTCTGTCTGTTCATCAGCTGAGAAAACAAAATTGTATTACAATGCTCTGTTTGCAATGGGTGTGGATTAAATTCAATTTATAGGAAACTATGGAAAAATAAATGGTTTTGTGGGGAGGGTATGTATGAGATTGCAAAGTGGTGAGTCTAATCATGAATAGTAGGGTCTGGATTTGAACAAAGCAAAGAGTGAGTTTAGAAGGGGAATGAATTAATTAATGATGAAACATGTCTGTGGCACAGAATGTGTCCAGGGCCCAAGGGAAGGAAAGAATAGAATGAAACAGCATCTCTCCACCTTGGAAAACCCCCATACGATCTGCAACTGAACTAAAAAAGTCTACATTTAGACCAAAGAAATAATATTTTGCTAACTTCACTACTTCTTTTAAAATTTATCTTCAGACATCATAAAGTTAAAAAGTGTGGCATAATTTTTGGTGAGGAAAAAAGTCACTGTAGGATGTAGCGGTTAGCTGGGCTTATAATCACATTTGCTGAATATTAGCACTACATAATTCCATACCTTCTTCTTTGGTCTAGTTATGGTAATCAAAATGGAAACACTTTTTGCAAGTAATGCCCCAGCCCGATGTTTATTTGCATCTTACTATGAGAAAAAGAAGGAAACTTTTGTAACAGGAAAAAAGCAGTGTATTTTTATTATGTAATGGATACTACTAAAAATTGTGACATGTTTCAGAGAGTGGCATTAAGCGCACAGAAAAAGATAATTTAAGTGGAAATTCACCACAGACAAACCTTAGTACCAAATGTATCCACTGTTTTGCTGCTATTGAGAAAATTTTTAGGAGACTTTTGGAGCTAGATTATAAATTTTTAATTGCTGCAACACTCACTTCAGTGCCATATCTCTCTCAGCTACAGTTTTGTGTATTTTAAAAACTGTTTCATGCCAGTGAAATTGAATTAATCCTATATTGCCTCCGAAAATTAAACGTGACGGATTGAGATGCTTAAAAGAGATGCTCACACCTGCTGTTGGTGATTGCTTTCCCTTTTCTGATTAAATGCTTGACTTGTCCAGAGTGCTGAACTAATTAAACCAGATGCAACAGCATTCATTTCAAGCCACAAGACAGCAGCTTTTATCAGGCCCATCTCTTACCTTTTTTATTAATTTGTTGAGTAAGCTCCTACAAGTGCATTATATATTCAAGACCACGGGAAACAGTTTACAATTCTACTACAAAATATCCATACTGAACAAAATGAAAAAGCAATCCCACAAGCCCTGATATACTATGTAGTAGGGCTATAGTAAGCGATACCATGCAGTATCACTATGACCTCATTGTTTTGGCAGCAATTGTTTCACCAATAAATAATTTAACAAGCAGCTAATCACTAGTTTAAAGCTGGCATAGAGATTCTTCTTTTCCAATGACTACCTGAAAATGTTTTTAAGTTACAGCACATCTTCCACGGCCACATTTTCAACACCAACATAATTTTTCTTCCAAGTTTAAGACAAAAATAAGATCTGGTACATTTTTCACTCAGCTGTTACGATCCTTGAGTGCATAGCAAAGTCTCTGCTTATCCTTCCAAATGTTACACAGCGTAATTGCCAACAGTAAGTTCTGTATTTTCTAAACTTTAACAAATTCCTCTGGAATAAGAAAATACTTGACCTTTCTTTTGCCTAGGTGTTTGTATTTCAGGACGTACGCTGTAAACACAAGCCATACAATTAGGAGAACCCTGAGGACGGGAACGAGCCCAAGCCCTGTCCCCAGCCCGCCCCGCACCCGCGGGCACCGCCGCCTGCTCCCGCGCGATGGCTCCTACATTAACCTCCTGTCCGCGTCCCGTACCAAGCTATTCCTCCGAATGTTAAACCTCCAGCAGAGGGATTCGCCCAGCGCAGCTGAAAGCTCTGAAGAAGAGCCGGTGTTTTTAAACACCTCCGCGAGCGAGCGGATGAGCGGCGGCGATCCCGGGCTGAGCCCCCGCTGCACTGCCGCTCTGCGGGGCACAGGCGGGACACAGCCAGGGCACAGTCCCAGCCCTCGCCCTCCCGCTCGTCCCATCCCGTCCCGTCCCGTCCCGTCCCGTCCCGCCGACTGAAGCTCCGGGCAGCGGCGCGGAGCCCGGGGCAGCCCGGCCGTCCAGCCCCGCCGCCCGCGTCCCGGGGCTCACGCAGCCGGCGGGGCAGGCGCCGGGCTCACCTGTGGGGTCCAGCACGGCCAGCGGGCCCGTCACGCCGGCGGCGGACGGCGGGGCCATCATCTCCCGGGGCTCCCCGCCCGGCCCCGCTCCGCTCGGCGCCGCGGCCGGCGCTGCCCGGGGCGCGGCGGGTCCGCCCCGCCGCGGGGGAACCCCCGCACAACCCGAGCGGCCCCGCTCGCCGCAGCCCCCGGGGCCGGTCCTGGGGAGCCACGGACCAGCCGTCAGCTGCTTCATTCATTATGCGTCCTACCCGTGTCTCAGCCTTGGCGTCGCTCCTGGATTTCTTCTTGGCCAATTTGACACCTGGTGGAGATCAGAATTGTCCCAAACTTTCCTTTCAGCTTTCTTCTTCACTTAAAAATATATATTTATATACAAAAAAGCAGAAATAAAATGAAACGGCAATGAGAAATACGAAGTACATTACTAAAGTTGGCATCTGAGAGACATAGGTTAAGGAAGGTGTAGGCTAAGATAGGACATGTCAATAGTCAAGAGATGTCAATAGTCAAGAGAACAGGGCTGTTCTTTTTCTCACATGGTGTCTATCAATTTCTCAAACTCACTGTCTCAGTTTTTATTCTGACTCTTGTCCTGCTGCTTCCCAGGAACTGCCAGCTGTTGCTTCTAGTGCTGCTTACTGCAGGGTTGTGTGAAGTCTGCCTGCAACAGTCTAGCAACAACTGAGAGGAAATAGCCAAAGGCACTGTGCTGTTTTGATGTCTGCTATTCCTTTTGTCTGATTTCCCTATAGCAGAGAACATAATAATTCTTTTTTTGTGGAAAATGTTTTTGATAGGCTGCCAAGTGCTTTGCTTATGTTGTGTTCTCCCACTTGCAAAAAGCACAAGTCTACTTAACATTCTTGTTTTTCTTCTGTTCCAACCTCTAAATGTATATGTATACACAGTCTTCAGTCTTTGGCAGATTTCCCCAGGAAATGGTTAGATAAAAAGAGACAACTTTCTCAGGTACTACCCCTGTAGTGTATAAAGATAAGTAAGCCAGGAGCTACGGCCAAACACAAGTCCACTTTTTTCTCTTTGTCTCCTCTAACCTGAAGAGGTAGAAGAAAGGAGAAAAAATAGGGTGGAGGTAGTATTTGTACTATTAATTACTAGTTTTTAATAGAAATTAATTAAGTAATAATTGAGAAAACAGAGATGGTGATGGTACAAATAACAAATTTGTTTGAAAGTGGTAGTCGATAAGAGTGATACAAATGCCCCAAAATCTGGTAAAGACTCTTGGGTTTGGGGATGGCTATGAATAGAAGTTTTCATCAACAGTAAATAACAGCAAGGTTGGGGAAGACTGCAATTCCCTAGACAGATGCAAAACAAAGACCATACACAGCATTTATTATCAGGTCTGATGGGCAATAAACCTTTTGTTTACCAGCAGTCACTGTTCAGACTCAACAGCCTAAAGGGAAGCTATTCTATAATTCTTTTCAGTAAAATATAAGGATATTATAAATCCTTTAAAAATAATTTGATCATAAAAAAATAATCTTTGATGAATGACTAATATTATTTACTGCAAATTTCTCAAGAACCAAGAATAGATTTACAAGAATATGCTACAGTCCTGGATATCAGAGGGAAAACACTAAGAAACTATGAAAAATGATTGATGAGGCTGCATGGACCTAGCATTTGAGCATGGAAGAATCATGGCCTTACTTTAAATCCAAAATGTAAAATCATGTATAGCACTTACATCCCATAAAAGAGGTTGGAATAAATCAAGAATAATTGTGGAGCTAGTGGATAAGTAAATACCTGAAAATGAATGGACCAACAGGAAACAGGAGAAGTACATTTTGCTGAGTTGGAAAATGCGGGATCAGAGAAAAAAAATTGATAAAAATCTAGCTGAACCAGATGTTGCAAAGAAAAGGATTAACATATAGCAAAGAATTCTTCATCTACATAAATAGAAATTATTTAAAGAAGCAAGATATGTGGTGGTTAAATGCCAGGGATGAGATTAAGGCTGTTCCAAATATTGCCTCAGTTTTCAATTAAAAGAAAAAATTAAGGTGAGAGAGTATTTACAGAGAGCATAAAGTAAGCAAGATAATGTAAAAGATCATATTAGCATAAGTTAGGCTGTTTCTTGTGACAGGTCCTGGAAAATCACACGCCAAATGTTGAAAAATTGGTGTCTGTCTTGTAAAAACCTGAGCAACACTTTTGATAAATCAGTAAAGTTGGGGTTGAAGCACTGTTATTGGAGACTGCTGGAGAATAGGAAACCTGTCTTCTAAAATGGCAGAGGGAGGGAGAGGAACAGCAGCTCCATGCCCTGTTAATTTGACTGAGAAAATTCTTAGAGGTAAGTGAAAAATGAGTTCAGCAACATTATGGTTCATCAAAGCGAGATCATGTCAGACTACCAGGAGGTTTGATAAGGTGATTTCTCAGGCAAAAGCATTGCAGTGAAACAAATCTCTCTGGATGTCTGTGCATTAATAGGGTCCTTTAGAGGAAAACTCTTAACATGGAGAGGACAGCTGCAAGTGTGGGTCACCATCAGGTATGGGGTATGTGTGTTTGTGACATGTTTGTCAAGAAAATGTTGGCATTCTCACCCAAAAAGTACCTGGTTAGCACTAAGCCTGAAGGCCTCCATCATGTCCTTGATGATTTCTCCTGCTTTACTGTGGCACACTAAAGGTTTGAAGGATTTTCGCCTTTTTTCCTACAGTCACCACTATGGTAGTGCATTCTTTGGAAATGAGATTGGTCACTCGTGAAGTTTCGATTCTGTGTGTTCCTGAAGTATTTTCTTCTTTATTTTGAACATGATCAATCTGTTTGATCTTTCTTTTCAGGTCATGTTTTCTAGGCTAACAGACATTCCCTTTGCTTCCCTCCAGCCTCTGTCATCACACTCTTTGTAGGCCACATCTTTCTTTAAGGGTGATGCAAAATGACTGGGCAATATTCACAGAATCACAGGTTGGAAGGGACCACAGTGGATCACCTGGTCCAACCTCCCTGCTCAAGTAGGATCATTTTAGACTACGTTGCACAGGATTGTGTCCAAACAGTTCTTGAATATCTCCAGTGCAAGTCACTCCACAATTAAAAAAATTATTTTTCAAAATAATTTTGAATTGTAAGTCTGTCTACCAGCATAATTCCTCTAAAATACTCAACAGTTTTTCCCAACTCTATATCCTCTGCAAATTTAATGTACTTTATATCCAAGGCCATCAGTGACCATACTGAACAAGGTCAGACAGCACATCTGCACCTTCTGTCTTCCAGGACCATTGACAGGTATGACTGTCCAGCTGCTTACTTCATCTCCTCTGTGCTACTGTAATTTACACTGTTTCTCTGTAAAGGGTCTGGTACAGGCTCAGAAACAGTCACAGAGACAACCAGAGTGAAGCAGCTTAGATGGCCCCAATGCACTTAACTCTTCACCACAGTACTTGGACTACTACTGTATTCCTCAGAAAGTCTGGGAACTGTCTCCTCCTTTCATTATTGGAATGCCCAGCAGAAAGGAAAGCCAGTCATTGCTGAGGCAAAATTCAGGATGTTTGATGCCCAGTCACACAGGGTCATGACAGCAAGGCAAATAAATTTCTTTAGTTCATATAAATAGTATTTATTGACACAGTCTAAATATAAATATACATATTATATAAATATACATATATATATATATATATATATATATATATACACACACACACACATATAAATAGTATTTACTGGTACAGTCCCTTGAGAAGTACATTGCATTAGTTCAGCTGAGCAGTATAAGGGAATCATGCAGGAAGTGAAAGGAACAACAAAATAGCCCTGAAGCTGAGATAAATGGCCACTGAATATTTAACTAAAATATAGCTATTAAAAAACAATTTCTGGGCAATTTTCTTCAAAAAATCTGCTTCCTGGTGCCAGTCAGAATCCAGGGTATGTTTTATTAGCACAATATTTAAAAGACTGCCTGACTTCTTTAAAAGGGACTTGAAAAGGTAAAGCTATTTACAGCAGTGTTCAGAGGCATCGGAAATAAGTGAATGACACATTCATTTGAGATATATGTTTGTCAAAAGCAGGTTTAAATTCTTTAATTGCCTTCAGTACACTTTTCACCTACTAATTTTTGCAGTCAGTTTTTGAATTCTATAAACTTTTAGCATTCACAGCATGTTGTGACAAGGAGCTCCATGTGTGCTGTGTGAAGACATGGGATACCCCAATGGGAACAAGAGGCAAACTGAAAAGAGCAAGATAAAAGTCAAGTTAAATGTCAAGTATATTTAAAGTCACAGGAGAATATACCTGAGGACAGGTACATGGCCCTTACTAAAACACCCCAACAAAACAACAAGCAAACAATTGCCACATGATACCAAAAGACATTGTGTTATTTATATGTTAATAAAGCTAGATAATTAAATGTGTGGACAATGTACTGGAGACCATTCTTGTGCTGCAGCTCATAACCACATCAAGACAACAAATTTCTGAAAACTGAAGTACAGAAAAGGTTTTCAGAGAAGTACCTGTTTTTGAAATATTGTCATACTGATAGAGCCTAAGTTTATATGAGCTGCATATGTACCTCTCGAATATGGTTAATAAAGGTGTGTTTGAAAGGTATCAACAATAGCCCATCAGAAGCATGACTGAAGAAGAAAACAATGTAGAAATGTCTACACAGTCCAACCAGTCCAAACAGGAACAGATCATCAATTTTTGGAATGCATTAGGAAACTCCTCTGGAAAATGCCTCTTAAATTTCAAAATTATGCCATCACCAAGAGAATAAATCAATCTGGAATGCAGATGTAGTAATGAAATTTTTATAACAGGCATAATTTCAATTATACTTCCCAACAGTTAACTTAAACTTTGATTAATTATTTTTCCTAGCTCAAAGCATCTTAAAAAAATTCCTTTGATAGCATAGTGAATTATACTATCCCTTCAAATTAAGTTTTTTGAAGCCCAGAAGTAAGCGAGACACCCTGTACATTTTCTCATGTCAGTTGGTGCCTTATTTAGCCAGGTGCCCTCCATCCATGTCTGC